ACATCAATATTTTGCGAGTACAAAAACTGTCAGAGTGATATAATTGTTCTTTAATTTCAATTAACAATGTCCTAAACATATCGTTTTATTTGTCATACAAGCTAGTATATAAGATAAAATATGGAAGCAAAGATCAACAAGGTAGTGTGGCATTCATTGACCTTTAGATTAAAGCGATCGACATAGAAATACAAGACAATTTATAGACATTATCACAGTTTTGAGTTGAAAAAGTGCAGGTATTTCATAATTTCTTTACATTAAAAATATCTGCATGCAATATCGGATTGAGTTAGCAGACCACAAATCGTCTAGGTATAAGAGGATTTAAGCATTGTTAGCATTAATGATCAATGAGCTGAATGAATGTCCAATGAGATGTCAGTTTATTATATCAAAGGATAAATATATATATATATTATTTTTTTTTTTCTAACTTTAAATTTATCTCCTACATTACACCTCATTATCTTCTTCTTATAATAGTTTTTATATAGTTAACATAATTCAAAAACAAATATCCAAGAGTATAGTCCTTTCAATATTTTGACTTTGGTCTGGATATTTTTGTTGTGTTGGAAGTAAAAAAAAAAGAAGTTTTAGTATCTGGTCGTAAGGTTTGTAAATCAGGCATGCCATACTTAATATCTAAAAATTAAGTGGCATATGAAAAAATAAAATTTCAAAACAACAAAATTTCCTATGATACACTAATTTACCAATGACAAAATAAAACTTCCATTGGAAATTATTCAAAAACTATTCAGATCACGCAACATTAAAACATATGTCACGTTTCTCATTTCATTACAGATTCAATACACCTGGGCATCTATTGCAAGACATTTCAGGCTTAAGTTTTCACAAGTAACATATTTAACTATAGTGTCTAAGTGTATGAATTCGGAGAGTGAGTAAACATTAGATAATGTTTAATTAGTATAAATCTAGGAAATTCTTACAATATTCATGTCTTATGTGACTTAATGAATGCAACAACTTTATTTATAATGCGTATATATTTATCTTTAGATTATGACACTGTGTGTTGATAGTTTTTTTTCTTTTCGTAGGTTAAACGCTTTGTCTCTTTGCACCAAATTCTGCAGCATTGTATGTCGTGCATTTTTGAAAAAGATGAAAAGATATCCAACGCAAATGTGTTTTGGATATTATAAAATATATTTCAGGAGATTTGATTTGAGCTTTATGAAGAATCTTAATTGTTTATAATCTTAAATTAACGTTATAAATTATCAACAAGTTATGCGTCTCCTGTCATATCCAACATAAATAAAATAGACACAAAACAGTGCATAATTCTGATACCAAATCTAGGGAAGAGGTGATCTCTTGAAAACAATAGTAACAACAAAATAACATAAAATAATTGCAGACTCTGTTTTATTGAATCAGTTAATCAGGGCTAATTATGAAAGTAAGACATAACTAACGCCCCCCTATCACCGGCTCGGAGCTGTATTCAATCTTCAACACCTAATGCGCTGAAATCAGTGATCCCGATGAACCAGAAATATATACCAACAATGCCGTGAAGTACGGGGCAACTTTTTACAGCTGCAAAACGGCACGACTTCTTCTGCAGTACAGTATTGAAAACTAAAGAAGGAATGATGTCTCCGAAGCAATGACAACAACAAAATTACATGAAAATTGCAGACTCGGTTTTAATGTCTTACTTAACAGACTGTTTTTAAATTTGTAATGGGACACAGTTCTCTCATTAATTCGTAATAAATAGCTTATCAATATCAAATATCTTTTACACACACACACACACGCACACAACACCTACTTAATTATCTTTTTGCGAAATTCAGCCGTCCAATTTTTTAACCTTATCGACCAAAGAAAATCAGTATGTACTGGATTTACAGAAATGTTATTGTTGAAACTACGACTGATGAAAAAATGGGATTGTGTACATGTTTTTTAAAATTTTACATGCGATTACAGTTGATTTATATATTATGGAAAGTTGTATTTACGGGCAGGCAGTGAATCAGACTGCCGAGTGAATGCTCCGTTGCCTCAGCACTGGTATTGTTAAGCTATTTACGCTTCTTTAAACTTGTTTACATAACCTGAACATATGAAATGAAATATTTGAGAAACAAAAGATTAATAGACCATCTGCCAACATTTGTTATTTTATGAACATTAAACCAAAATATTTAATGGCCAAATTAAATAAGGCAAAATAATGTCAATAACTTTTTTATTATTGATTATGTTTAAATATCACAACGGAAATAATGGGGATCGATTTAGTTAACATAAAACACAAATCTACAACTTAAAAGTATTAGTTTATTGATATGATTATATGTCCACTCAGTTTTTTTTTTTTAATTAGAAAAGATATATAAAAACAACAATAATAATCAGGTAATTTACCTATAATCATGCGAATTACTGAATTACTTCTCGATACAACAGTACTATACAGAATTCAAAAGATTAAAAAAAAACATCTGATGAAGAAAAAATGTCTTATCTTAAAATATTTGTTTTCTGAATATCTTAAATTACATCTACATCTAACTGCATCTCTTAACAAAAATATTTGAGATTTTATACTTCTTTTGCTTTTACAATATGAATGCGATAGCTGCAAATCAACTCAACTCAACAACAAAAACGTTTTTCCATATAGAATTATGATAAATAAATTGGACATTTATCTGATTTGTTTAGAAGAAGCTAATTATAGGGCAAAAGGACAATTTCCTGCCATTGCCTTGTTTTGTGAATATTCATCGACTGATAACTTAAGCAGCCAAAAGGTCTTACGTTTAATGAAATCTATCTTGCAATATGCTGAATATAACATAATACGTAACTTGGGAATAAACGAATGGGCTTGTATTTTAAGTATTCATATTTATATGCTTTCAGATATCCTGTAAGTTTGTACGAATATATACACGCTGTATATTCTATACAATTGTTTTTTTTAATTTACTGTAACTTGTGTTTTAAAATGTTTTATGTTTTGCAGCTAACTTGTTTTGTCCTTAATTATGGCTTTTTAACACATAAAAAATCTTAAATTTTAAAGAGAAAAAATACATATGCTTGTGTCGAGTTAAATTGCAAGCAAACATGAACGACGATTGACAAAATATTTTTAATTTTTACAAAACTGTTTTCAAACCGCAAAACCACCCTGGATGAACAAGTTTTGTCACGTGACCACAAATGCAAACGCCGGACCCAATTTCAGGTAATTATTTGCAGATATCTTTTTTTCCACTGCGAGCACAAAAATAAGACATAGACCGTAGGACCCGGCGTAAATTAAGCTTTTATTTTATGTGAGTAGTCATTACTAGACTTTAGTAGTTTTTTTAGAACACTTCGACACAAATGTTCTTTTCGCAAAGCAAACGCCGATAGGTTTTACTTTTTCCAATCAATTTTTTCACTGGAAATACATGTTGAGGTAAGATAATAGAGGATATGTCTTTTAAAATGCCATTCCCGTCCCTAACTCATTTATAATTCCATTTGCAAAGTTATATTTGACATAATCCCATGTTATTCTCCGTATTGTCTAATTTGCAAACGTCGTTTGAACATGTCAAAAATGTGCAAACGCCGGTTGAACATATTAAGGACGTTTTCGGGAGTTTTCATATGGACATATAGGCAAAACTAAAACTGTTCAATAGGATTTCTTTAAACTTGGCATGTTGTTAGAAAATGATAACAGAAACATTTTAAGCGAAAAGAAAATTGGGGTCACCGTTTTCGTTGTTGAGTTATCTGCCCCTGAATCAGACTTTTCTACTTATTTGAGGTCATTTCAAGGGCAGATAACTTATACATACTTAAATGAATTCTTGTTTTTACTTCTGGATTATGTTTTTCTTTTTATTGTTGAGTACAATACATAATAACATGCAATTCCTTACATCGTTTCTGTTAATTATTTTCAATGAAAATAAAGGTACTTTAAATTCTTAAAAAATAGTCCATTTTTTTAGAAAAAATGCACAGGTTAAAAGAAGAAGTTGATATAAAAACTACCCACTCTAAGTTTGTTCTTGAAATTTTGCATATCAACTAAAACGAAGATAAGCTTCATGAAAATAGGAAAATAATTATCTGCCCTTGAATTTAACAAAAAAGTCCATTTCAAGAGCAGATATCTCAAAAATGAGAACGGTGACCCAAATTTTTTTTCGCTTAAAATGTTTCTGTTCAACAAGCCAAGTTTAAAAAATTATATTGAACAGTTTTAATTTTGCCTGTATGTCTATATGAAAACTCCCGAAAACGTCTTCAAATATATATATTTCTTGCATCTCAGACAGGATTATCTACTGTTTACACCGGTGCTGGAAAACTCTGTCTTACACCCCCATGTAAGACAAGTCGCGTGCTTTAAATGACGTCATTGACGCGCGCCTTTTATGAATGAATCGCGTTCTTAGGATGACGTCATTTTCCTTTATGAATCATACGCTACTATAAGAAAGAAGTGCGTAATATATATATATCAGTTTTCATAATTTCTGTTCCGAAAATATTTGACATGTAATAGCAAGAAAAAGAATCAAACACCGGCTGTTGGTACAGACGGGAATATCCAGCTCTCGGGTAACTGTTTAGCGGAAACTCGACAGATAGTCTGTACCGACAGCCGGTGTAAGATTCTTATAAACCGGTGGTTATTTTAAGTCAAGTTGCAAATATTACAGTTCTCTGAACAAAAGACTTCTCTCTTTTCTCTTTCTTTTTTATTTTAAAACATTCTTCTTCTTAAATAACAAACTTTTATAAAACTTCTGTATATCCCATATATACATGTTTACATAAAACCGTATAATCTTCTCAAAAAATCAATTCCAAACAAAATCCGTCGGGAATAAACTTTGATTTAAAAATTTAGAAATAAAAGTCAATCTTCTTAGTTTGCACTATACAGCGACGTTGAACTACAAAGTGAGATCACTTGGAGTTACATATTTGTTTCAAATAAAATTTAACGAAGGTGTTTTCTTTTGACCAATCTGCAGCGTTGAGAATTGGGACCTAAAGCTCTTGTAGAATGTGCTGTTTCACTTTTATGTTTATCTGCATAAGCCTCTTGAATAGTTTTAAGAATATATGAAGCCAAAGTTTGTGAAGAAGCTTTAGAATGAGGTACATTTATTGTCAGAAATAAACTTGTTTCATCTTTACGTCTGAAGGATTTAGTTCTTTTAAGATAGATAGCAAGTGCTCTTCTTGGATGGTCTTAAAAGCTGGTACACACATTTTTGCTGATGAATGACCAGGTCTATCCTGTTTAGCCAAACCTTGTCTGATAAAAGTTTCCCCATCTGTCTTCACAGAAATAGCTCCTCCTAATGTTAACGCTTGAAGGTAGCTGGCTCTCCTGAATGCCGTGATAGCTGTAAGAAAAACAACTTTATATGTTAAAAATTAAATTGATGTTTTTCTCAAAGGTTCAAAATGAAATGTTTGTAGCGCACTAAGAACTTTAGGCAAATCCCATTCAGGCAACAACTTTGTTACAGGAGTTCTTAAATTGAATACTCCTTTTAATAATCTGATATAATACAGCTGTTGACCAATAGGAGTGTTATCTACTGGAGGTAAAACTGCAGATAAAATAGGGCGGTAACCTACTGTAAACCTTTTTTGTACAAATCTGATAAAAACTCAGCACAAGTATTTAAGGATGCTGTGAAGGAATCAATATTCTTTTGACGACACCATATCATAAATTGTCTTAATTTACTGGATTAAGCTTTCTAAGTACCAGTTCTCCAGCTGGCTGTAAGAAGTTTTGAAAAAAAGCCTTTTTCTCTAAACTGTCTGTCGATAGCACCATGCAGTCAGTTTCAGAACACCTGGATTTGGATGACATATCTGAGATTTGGTTGTTGTAACATATTTGTAACCAATAGAAGACTTAACGGTTGAGCTACCGATAGATTCAATAAATCTGGAAACCATGGGCGTCGTGGCCAGAATGGAGTTATTAGAATCAGTTTGCAATGAAATTGTTTCATATGATGAAGAACTCTGGAAATGAGATATATATAGTTCAGCGTTCAAAAAGACATCAACGGGCGCTTGCATATATTTCAAATGACCAACCGACGTTTGCACATTTTACGTGATCAAACGACGTTTGCAAAATCGACAATAAGTGGAAAACATGGATTTATATCGAATATAACATTGCCAATGAAATTATAAATTAGTTAGGTACGTAAAAATTACTTGTAAAAAGACATATCTCTTCTATTATTTTCCTTCTACATGGGTTTCCAGTGAACAAAAAAGATAAGAAAAGGTAAAACCTACCGGCGTTTGCTTTGCAAAAAGAAAATTTGTGTCGAAGTGTTCTAAAAGAACACCTAATTCTCACAACTACTACATACATAAAATGAAAGTTCAATTAACGCCGGGTCCTACGGTCTAGGTCTTAATTTTGTGGATGCAGTAGAAAAAAAGATATCTTCAAATAATTACCTGAAATCGGGTCCGTAATTGCTGAAATGTTAAATCGGCGTTTGCATTTGTGGTCACGTGACAAAACTTGTTCATCCAGGGTGAAACCGCTTTTGCCAGAATTTGAACAATATCAATTTTTATTTGTTTGGGTCGTCAGACCAAACAAATAATGGTAGCGAAGTTTCAGAGCCTATTGCTGTTAATTGCAAATGCCTAAAGTATTCCACTTTTTTGAAGCGGTTACTTCCCTTTATATGTACACTAACGCCGAAAAATTCAGGGGAAATCAATGCGTAAAGATTGTCATTTGACAGGCGCATTAATTTTCAAGCAAAGTAATTCCCGAATGGTCGAAGATATCTAATATTGTTTCATTCTTTATAGATATACATGCTTACAGTAAGCTCCATGATTATTTACATCTGTGTTTAACAACAGGTTAAGCTTCGAAATAAGGGTTACAAACCCTAATTTAGAATCATATGGTTTTCTTCAGGCCGTTATCATATAACTTCACCGTGGCCGATGGGTTTGCACGCTCGCGTATGAATCGAGAAGTCTGGAGTTCAAATCCCATATGAGGCAACTAATTTTTTTTTTTAAGTCAAATAAACATTGAATTGACTATCAGTGTTGCAATTAGTCTTATAGCCAAATAACTACAGTTAAAACACTGGAAAGCATTGGTGGCACTATACAAAATCAAATTGGTTTATAATCTCACAACCTTCACCTTTCTGACATTCTGAGACCCAAACAAATTCAGCGCCTTCTGTGCTTTGATTATTTTATTATTCCATCATGTTGGTAGTATCATGTTGTAAGGAAATATATACCTCGATACTACTTTTGTTGTATACTGATTATTCGGGATAGAACAAAATTTATATAATCTTATAAATAAATATATGTTTGTATATATGTATACGGTAAAAGAAAATTGACGAACTAATTAAAAATAAGTAATTTAAATCAATACAAATTGTGAGAGTTTTGGAACTTGGCGATACTTTTCATAGGAGTAATATTGTTGGTCACTTCTTTTCGTTTTAGTAAAAAGTAATATAGCTTTTTTTATAACATGTAATTTTACGCTTATAGTCAACAAAATGACTCCTAAAGTTAATAATAACAAGAAAAGCATTGATGCAAAGCATCAAAGGGCGTCCAAGCAAGAAATGCAGCAGGTGCAGATGAACTAGTAGATATATGATGATAAACTGTTCAATGGTTCATTGGTTTTTACCAGAATTGTATATCACTTATAAATGAACGAACGAAAGACATTGTTCATTATTTATAAATTTGATTGGCATGCTAGAAATTAGAATATTACTTGTTATTTCTTTATGATCGTGATTATTAATAGCAACGGATATACATGTATACAATCATTTATAATCCATATGAGTAACGCATGATCAACACCACACTTGTGTAATTGTCCCTTATTATCTTATCGCTATTAGCGAAGACCCCCTCTTAAGGTATCTGTTCACACTTAGTAACAATATGACACTTGTTATATTACCATGTTGATCATGTTGAGCATAAATGTTTATTACACACTAATTGTAATATCTTTTTTAATAAAAAAAATACAGATTTTATGAATATTGTTTTCTTTTCTTTTTTGTGTTTTATGCACTATTTTAAGTCTTAGTTTTTACGTTTACTACTATTTTAAGAATTCAATTGTCATAATGACCGACGATTATAAGTCAAAACTTAACTGGAAAAAGTCAGTAAATTATGGTTAATCTTTCAATATATAATATTGTTTATTCTTAAACCATATACATGTACACTTGTATTTTTCTTTATGATTTCTTAAATTATCAATCAATTGAGTAATTCATAAAATCTGATTTGTAACTTTGAACAATTCCTCGGCATCTTTACTAAACACGAATAACAAATTAAATAAAATGTTTCAAAGTTGATAGTGTCGTATTAATGCCATAAAAATGTACATTTTTTCTCAATAATTGTACATATTTATTGTTTTTATCTCATATAGATAAAATAAAACATGCGATTAGTGTTTTTTTTTTTCGAATTGTATGTTTATGTATAATAATAAGCAATAATTTTGGGAGTTGATCTGTGTTTATTAATTATTGTAACCAAACTAAGTGACAAACATTCATTTTGAAAAATGTAAAATATTTGTTCTGTTCTGTAACGATATCAAACATCTACTCCAAAACCGGGATAGACCGGACAATAAACGTGTGGTACTATTCGCCGGTCGTCAAAATAGACCAGGAGAGACCGGGAATTACCGACAGGAGTACATCCCTCTATAAATAGATTTTCGGAATATTTAGGTCATCAACTCATCATTCTATTTACAGCTTTCGGAATAACATACCATAATAATCCACTGTGTACTACAAAATGATAAATAAAGATACCTTGAAGAGCGCGATTTATTGACGGAAAAGGTTATTTAATTTGAAAATGTTTGCATTGCGAAATCTCCAGTTCGCTATTCATTGTACATATCGCGACTAATTAATAATCAAGCACCCTCATACCGATCGGAATGATCGGCTTTTATTATGAACAACTATAAAAGGCTCGAGAAGTTGCTGTCGCCCTTTTACAAAATCTGATTTTATTCCATAAAAGGCGCCGCGCTTCGGCACGGACGCCAATAATAGTTTAAGTATGTGACAGTTTATTTATTTTGTTCATGTATTGAATCGACATATCTTTTGCAAAGAAAATATTTTGATTTATTTTTTAATATTGTGTTGTTTTTTTCAGAACATGAGTCGCAACTTCAAATATAATACCATTAAATATTCTGTTCAATTTAAGAAATCGGAAATAAGAAAATAGAGTATTGACTCAATTGTATCAAAGTTTGGGAAATGAATGTCAAAACTAAAGTGGATTTTGTCATTATTCATGAATTATATTCATATTTCATAATTACAAGACAGATTTGAATAAAGCCAGACTTTGATTTTCCTGTTGTTTCAATATTGTAAACGTGATAACTCTTGATTAATGTGTGCAATTTCCTTCAAACAAATTCCCCTAAAAATAAGGGTGACCCGATTTATTCTTCCACTGAAATGATAAGAAGTGGTTTTGGGACAATCTCACACTGAACTTGCAAAACCACTTTGCATATTACTTAAAAGGATGTATAAATTAAAATTATATAATGACTATTAATTTTACAAAAATTGGTGGTGCCCATTTTATTGGAAAAAAGTTGACAAATGAGATAGTTGCAATACACATGTACATCACAAATTTATAAATTATCGGAATAGTTATATTTGAATGATTATTTAGTCAAGCAAAGAAACACCTACCTATCAGAAATAATTAATGTACAATATTAGTTATTAGAGAAATCTTTTATGAGACCGAGTATTTTGCCGTTTTGAGCGTTCTTGAGGGATAACGTTCGTTTCTATATTGTTTTCCTGCTTAATCCTTTTCTTTGTATATATTTTTATATTTGTGTATTTATTGACTACGTTTATACGTATGTATAAATGCATATTTAAGAACTGATCCAAAACGTACTTCTAAACATGCTTTTGGGCAGCAATTTCTTTAAAGCTGTTTTTGTGTGAAAAAGTAAAAATTAAAGTATACATGAATAGATTCTTGTCTTAAAAATAAGTATGATAGAATAATAACTGCCTTTGATATGGAAGAATTTAGGGTAGTAAACACTCATTAACTTATAATCTAATCCCGTCTTCTTATCTAGAAATTTGCCTTAAAGTTGAAATAAATATCTTCTAAACTGAAGAAAAAATGAAAGCGCAAAATATATGTTATGCGTTTAGAAAATGTTCAGTTGTGAATTAAAACGTGACTTATGTTTGGAAAATATGCCATGTGTTGTCAGTATATTTCGGGAACACTAATTGCTTCTTTAAAATAATGATATGCGTCATGATTATTTTAAGTTTATTGATAGTGAACTGTTTGATCATAACCTCTTTCGTCACAACTGACATCAGATTGTAAAATCTTTTGTACATATATACAGAGTTCGTAAGTAGATTTCAAACTATGTTTATGGTATATCACAATTATGAGAAGTGATGTAAAAGGATACTTTGTTGGGTGAAATATTCTAAAAATTTAAAATTGCTATTACTTCAATCCAACATGCTGGACAAGAAGCGATTTTTTTAGATATATCGTTTAATTATCTATCCTTATAAAACGAGTAAAATATCAGTTGAACATTTAAAACATTATCCAGATTGTTATGCATAATGTGATAAAATATCTGATTTAATATCTATGTCTGTCAAAAGGAAGCAATGCATATGTCCAATTTTATTTTATAAAAGAGATATATGACATCGTCAATTGTAATTCAATAACAAATATATTTCCTGGAATTTTCTATTCCGCTGCATTTTATTAATACGCAACCCATATTCTACTGAACAGAAATTCTAATTTGAAATACAAGTGCAAAATAAAGACTTGTGTTGATCCTTTACTCAAAACTCAAAACAGTTTCTATGTTTGCTGTGTTGATTTTTGGTTTCTTCTTCTTTTATGATACATTGCCAAATGCTGTACAAAAATCTAAACACGCATTTTTAACATTTCATTCTGTATTCATGTATGCATTCTATTTAACTTTATGTTAGACACTATTAACGTTATTCAGCTTAACAGTATGGTTTTATGGTTCTCATGGCAATTAACGATGAAAACTGTAAAACAAACGAAGGAAACATAAAAAGTCATTAACCTCTTACAGTGCCAATTATCTTTATATCACGTTTTAAATCTCATATCAAAGTAAAAGTATGCCTATGACAGTTGGAAACTTTTAATCACTTAAACTTAGAATTACAGTCAGGTGAACCAGAAAGATCCAGAAAGCATTTCCAATCAATTATTAAGCGATATTCTCCTGGCGTGTGCTGTTCGGTTTATAGAAACTGTTTGTTCAATTGTTTTATTGTCAAATAAAATGAATAACCTTTATTATATTAATTTTAATGGAAATTAATGGTTTTAGTAACCTTCATAACCTAGGTAACTCAAAGGAATATCATAATAGTGCCTATTAGAATATTAACTGTGGTATTACAACACATTCTTTTCT